TGCAGGCAGTTCCTGGGGGATGAAGGAATTAATACCATTGAATGGCCCCCACGCTCGCCTGACCTAAATCCAGTAGAACACCTCTGGGATGTCATGCTTTGGTCCATCCATCGCCGCCAAGTTGCACCTCAGACTGTCCAGGAGCTCACTGATGCCCTGGTCCAGATCTGGGAGGAAATCCCCCAGGACACCATCCGTGGTCTCATTAGGACCCTCCCCCGATGTTGTCAGGCATGCATACAAGCACGTGGGGGCCACACAGACTACTGAGGACCATTCTGAGTTGCTGCAATGACATTTCAACACAATGGACTCGCCTGCTGCATCATTTCTTCACTTTGATTTTCGGGGTGTCTTTGAATTCAGTCCTCTGTAGGTCGATCATTTTCATCAAACGATGGGACATCCTTACGTTCCTCACCCATCCCCCGTCCATGTCAGTATAGAGATCCAGCAGGAGATTCCTCCCCATTGAGATCTGATGGGTTTTCAAAGTCTTCCTTTCATTTTTTTGAGCAGAGTATATATAGTAAGCCGTGTTTATTGCTATATAGAAAAGTGCAAGTGCTCATCTTCCTGTCGACACCAGATCCTCTCTACGGGAAGAGTGCCAGGACGGCAGCCATGCTTCCTCCATTGAACAGTAATTAAGGTTACCTTTTTTGTCACACTGGATATTTTTGTACGTCTCTAAAAAGGAAAAAGTTCCAAAATTGGAAGCCAGGAATTATTCTATTAAAAAAAAAAAAAAAAAAAAAAAAAAAAAAAAAAAAAAAAAGGATCCCTCAGGCCGACAATGTTCAGGAAGTGGCGCGGGCATTGCATTTCAGGGTCAGATTGGGATGCAAATGCACTTTGTGATGAAAGACAATTGTACCTTCGGCCCGAGGCTTTCAGGGGATTTGGGCGTAAGGAAAGGAGCGTGAGAATAGAGAGCAGGATAAAGGAAGTTCATTATAACAGGCCGTCCCTCAGAAGGAAGCGCGGGGCCATCAATCTATATTTTTAGTAGCGACGAGGTTTCTTATTTTTATATTTATATTTTTGTTTTGTTTTGAAGGGATGTGAGACTTTCCGATCCTGACGGAATTGTCAGTAAACTTCTGTGACGTGCCGATTGCCGGGATTGCAACACCAACTCATTTATAGTCAGACCAATTCAGAGCCGGATTTTTAGAGTCGGTGCCAAAGTTCATTTTCGTACTTCCCTAAAATAACGTCTTCTTGTAAAAATTATCTCTGGAGATGGTCATTCCAAGTCAATGCGATTTAACTGCTCCAATATGAACAGCTACCTTGATATCATGACAGATGGTTAGAATGTTTACATTACAGGGAAGAGTGAAGAAAAGAGAATGAATAGAAAAAGAAAAAGTAAAAGTAAAGATATTTTCACACTTGCAGCGCTCTCTGAAGAGCAATCCGTGTTCTGAGCGCTCTTCAGAAAGCATTGGACAGGCCGTGAGAAGGCGTTGTATCGCATCCTCACCGCCCACTTTGACCCCTTGATCCCCGCACTAGCGCCCACTTTGACCCCTTGATCCCCGCACTAGCGCCCACTTTGACCCCTTGATCCCCACACTAGCTCCCACTTTGACCACTTGATCCCCGCACTAGCTCCCACTTTGATCCCTTGATCCCCGCACTAGCTCCCACTTTCACCCCTTGATCCCGCACTAGCTCCCACTTTGACCCCTTGATCCCCGCACTAGCGCCCACTTTGACCCCTTGATCCCCACACTAGCTCCCACTTTGACCCCTTGATCCCCGCACTAGCTCCCACTTTGACCCCTTGATCCCCGCACTAGCTCCCACTTTCACCCCTTGATCCCCGCACTAGCTCCCACTTTCACCCTTGATCCCCGCACTAGCTCCCACTTTCACCCTTGATCCCCGCACTAGCGCGCCCCCACTGTATGCATTGCAATCAGTTGCGGGACGCTTACAGAGTGATCCTATGTAGAAAGCAGAAAAGAATAGAAAAATAAATAAAAACAGAAGAAAAAGTAAAAGATAAGAAGAAAAAAAAAAGAAAGGAAAAGAATAGAATAGAAGAAAAAAAGGGAAAAAAAAAACAAAAGAAAGAAACAAAAGAAAAGAAAAAGAGAAAAAAAAAACAAAAGAGAAATAAAAAGAAAAGAAAAGAGAAAAAAAGAAAGGAAAGAAAAAGAAAAAGAAAAGAAATAAAAAAGGGAAAGAAAGAAAGAAAAAGATGCAAAGAAAAAGAAGCAAAAAAAAGAAGAAAATAAAAAAAAAAGAAAAGAAGAAGCAAAAAAAAAGAGAAAAGAAAAAAGAAAAAAAAAAGAAGAGAAAAGAAAAAAAAAAATGAAATAAAAAGAAACGAATAGAAAAGAAAAAGAAAAAAGTAAAAGATAAGAGTAAAGAAAAAAAAAAGAAAGGAAAAGAATAGAAAAGAAGAAAAAAAGGGAAAAAAAAACTAAAGAAAGAAACAAAAGAAAAGAAAAAGAGAAAAAAAAACAAAAGAGAAATAAAAAGAAAAGAAAAGAGAAAAAAAGAAAGGAAAGAAAAAGAAAAGAAATAAAAAAAAAGAAAGAAAGAAAGAAAAAGATGCAAAGAAAAAGAAGCAAAAAAAAGAAGAAAATAAAAAAAAAAGAAAAGAAGAAGCAAAAAAAAGAAAAGAAAAAGAAAAAAAAAAAGAAGAGAAAAGAAAAGAAAAAAAAAATGAAATAAAAAGAAACGAATAGAAAAGAAAAAGAAAGTAAAAGATAAGAGTAAAGAAAAAAAAAGAAAGGAAAAGAATAGAAAAGAAGAAAAAAAAGAGGGAAAAAAAAGAGAAGAAAAAAGAAAAGAGAAAAAAAAAAAAGGAAGAAAAAAGAAAAGAGAAAAAAGAGAAAAAAAAGAAACAGAAAAAAAAAGAAGAGAAAAGAAAAAAAATGAAATAAAAAGAAAAGAATAGAAAAGAAAGTAAAAGATAAGAGTAAAGAAAAAAAAAAAAAAGGAAAAGAATAGAAACGAAAAAAAAAGAAGAGGGAAAAAAAGAAAATAAAGAAAAAAAGAAAAGAAAAGAGAAAAGAAAGGAAAGAAAAAAGATGCAAAGAAAAAGAAGCAAAAAGAAAGAAGAAAATAAAAAAAATAAATAAAAAACACTACAAGAACTTCTTTAGATATTGGCATTTTTGATCCCATAGACTTCAATGGGAAGGCCTGAAAATGCTCAAATCAAGTGTTCTTCAGGCGTATTTCAGGGGGTTTCAGCCAATAGGAACTGGGCTCCTCCCCCTAGTGCTTTCCATTGGCTAAAACACAAACACCTAAAACCTGAATACGAAAGTAAACCTCTTGAAAAACGCTGATAAAACGCCCATATAAGCTCACAAAAACGCATGAAAATCGCTCTGCTGAGGTGTGAATGCAGCTGCCAGTACATCTCAATACCTCAACTCAACACTGCAGGCTACTTTTAGGAGCAATTAAAGAGGAACTTCATCCACCCCCCCCCCCCCCCCACACCATGTTTTTTTGGGCTCCCCTCTCACTTTTTTGCTGGGTTATCTTTAGTAAATAAACTCACATACCCAGCAAATCCCTCATTGTCCTGCTGCGATTCTGGTGTGCACCAGGTCCCATACCACCATCTTCCTTTCTGACGTCATTGAGAGCCAGCTGTCTTTCCCTGCTTCAGGCAGCTGGCCTCCTGATGACGTGCCATCAGATCTACCCTCCTTCAGGTCCATCTGCTGCTCCACACTGGGCTTCATGCCACCATTTTCCTTCCTGATGTCATCAGCAGCTGGCTGTCGCTTCCTGGCTCAGACATGCGGCCGACACACATCTAGATCCATCCTTCATCAAGTCCTTCTGATGATGCACACCAGGTCTTGTGTCACCACTTTCTTTTCTGATGTCATTAAGAGCTGGCTTCCTCTTCCTAGTTCAGGCAGCTGGCCCCGTGATGATGTACCACCAGATCCATCTGACACTGCACTGCTACACCATGTCCCATGCCACCATCTTCCTTTCTGATGTCATCCAAAGCCAGTTGTCTCTTCCTAGTTCAGGCAGCCAGCCCCCTGATGACGTGGCCACCAGGTCCACACACTTTCGGCGACTGTGTCGAAGCTGATACCCCTTAGAATATGTGATGTACATATCTCAGAAGGCTTCATAGTTCAGCGATCTTCCTTTCTGACATCAAGAGCTGGCCGTCTCTTCCTGGTAGAGGCAGGCAGACCCCTGGTGATGCACCACAAAGTCCACCTGCCTCTCAAGTGCTTCACACCAATTGCCACGCGGTTGTCTTTCTTTCTGACCTCATTGTGAGCCAGCTGTCTCTTCTGGGTATTTGCAGCTAGCCCACAGATGACGAACCACAAGGTACAGCCTTCTCCAGGTCCATCTACTGCTCTGATACTGCACACTGGGTTCAATGCTGCCATCTTCCTTTCTGATGTCATCAAGAGCTGGCTTTCTCTTCCTGGTTCAGGAAGCTAGATCCCTGATGGCAGACCACCAGGCCCGTCCTTCTCCAGCCACTGTACTGAAGCTGATGACCCTTAGAATATGTGACATACATATCTCAGAAGGATCCATAGCACATCAGGCCCTGCACCACCATCTTCCTTTCTGACATCACGACTTGGCAGTGTCTTCCTGATACAGGCAGCCAGATTCCTGATGAGGCACCACCAGGTCCACTTGCCACTCCTGTACTTCAGACCCATGCTGCTCTTCCTATCTCACTTCGTGGTGAGGCAGCTGTCTTTTCTGTGTCAGTACAGCAGGCCCAGTGATGACGCACCACTAGGTTCACTCTCCTCCGAGCCCATCTACTGCTCTGATACTGCACGTTAGGTCCAATGCTACCATCTTACTTTCTCATGTCATCAAGAGCCAGCTGTCTCTTCCTGGTTCAGGCAGCTAGAACCCTGATGACCTACTACCAGGTCCACCTGCCACCCTAGTGCCTAACACCATGTCCCATGCCGCTTTCTTTTTCTTCATGTAATTTTGAACCAGCTGTTTCTTCTGGGTTCTTGCAGCCAGCCCACTGAAGACCCATCACCAGGTGCAAGCTCCTCCAGGTCCATCTAGCACTCCAAACCTGCACACCAGAACCCATGTGACCAGGGGCGGACTGACAACTCATGGGGCCCCTGTGTCCTTGCCCAAACTCAAAAAAGCCTATGAAAAAGTTACCAGGGGCATCTCATGGGGCCCCCTACTGACCCCGGGCAGTGCCAGAGTTTCCAAATGGTCAGTCCGACCCTGCATGTGACCATCTTCCTATCTGGTGCAGGGGCGGACTGACCATTTGGAAACTCGGGCACTGCCCGAGGGCCCGGGCTCAGTAGAGGGCCCCATGAGATGCCCCTGGAACCTTTTTCATAGGCTTTTTTGAGTTTGGGCAAGGACACAGGGGCCCCATGAGTTGTCAGTCCGCCCCTGGTCACATGGGTTCTGGTGTGCTGGTTTGGAGTGTTAGATGGACCTGGAGGAGCTTGCACCTGGTGATGGGTCTTCAGTGGGCTGGCTGCAAGAACCCAGAAGAAACAGCTGGTTCAAAATTACATGAAGAAAAAGAAAGCGGCATGGGACATGGTGTGAGGCACTAGGGTGGTAGGTGGACCTGGTAGTAGGCCATGATCCCCTATTGCCCGGGGGCCCCATGAGTTGTCAGTCCGCCCCTGATCTGGTATCATTGGAAGCCAGCTGCCTCTTCCTCGATCAGGCAGCAGACCCCCCTGATGATGCACAGCAAGGTCCAACCTTCTCCGACCAATATGCTGAAGCTGATGCCTCCTGGCCTATGTGACATGCACACCCCAGAGGCTTCAGGAGTGGAGGAGGAAAAAAAAATTTTTTTTAGATTGCAAGGAGGGAGAGAATTGTAGGGACTTAAAGTGCTTTTTTGGAGGGAGTGAAGGTCTACTCTAAGTTGGGTGGAAATTTACCACCACTGCAGTAGTTCTAATTACGGAAGTTGACAGATGGTATGAATAATAATATAGTTGTTTCACCACCTTGAATGTTTTTTTTTTTTTTCTCAAATGGTAGCAAAACCAGCAAAATGTTTACCCGGACCTGCAGCAAACACTGAACCTATGCACAATAGCCATGCACTGGTGTTTTGTCTATGTACATGCCGCATTGTAGGAGGCCCTATCAGTGCCAAACCTCATTCGTCAAAATAAGAGCGACAAAAGGAGGCATTTACCCTCTTCCCAGCCCTTTCGCTTCCACCAATCAGATTTTACTTTTTAACAGTTTCGGGCAGATGATTTTTTTTTTTTTTTTTTTTCATTGCTTGCCAAGAATGACTGCACTTTAACACATTGCTCTTTGCCTTACGAAACACATGACATTCCAATATTTAATCCACAATGGCTTTCTTATTTAAAGAGATAGAACATCGTAATGGAAGAGATTCACGCATTCGCACACCAAACACCATCGTAATGGAACAAACAATTCTTGGAGCACCTAGTCTGCCAAAAAGCAGGTTGGTAAATTCAGACAATTACCCATTGTACTTCGTTGCAACCAAGAGATAAGCCAGGACAATCTGCAATGGAATTTACTACGATTGATTAGCAGTTGTACCTAGAATGGAAAAAAGGTCACTGGATGGTCAGATTGTTTGCAAGCAACCAGAAAAGCTGGCAATCGTGGCCAACCTAAAAACCAGCACCGAGCCTTTGCAACCCTTCAACGAGCCTTTGTAACCCTTCAAGTTGCCTTTGTAACCCTTCAAGGAGCCTTTTTAACCCTTCAAGGAGCCTTTGTAACCCTTCAACGAGCCTTTGTAACCCTTCAACGAGCCTTTGTAACCCTTCAACGAGCCTTTGTAACCCTTCATAGCACAAATTTTGTAACAATTTCTTACTATCAGCAAGACAACCTTCTGCCCGCACTGTTAGCAACACTCCAATGCAGAAACACGTTGGGGTTTATTTACTAAAGCTGGAGAGTCCAAAATCAGACTCCCTTCTGCATAGAAACCAATCAGCTTCTAACCTCAGCTTGTTCAATGAAGCTTTGGCAATGAAACCTGGAAGCTGATTGGTTTTCTATGCAGAAGGGAGTCTGATTTTGGACTCTCCAGCTTTAGTAAGTAAACCCCGTTGGGTCCAAGGATGAAGTAGAAGAACTATTGTTCGGGAGGGGATTAGGAGATGCCTACTGTTTTATGGATTTAAAAAAGCTGAAAACTGGAAATCACTCAAGAAGCGTCTCGGGTTAACATCCGCCCAAAGGGTTAAGAGTCTAATTGCTCTCTTTTTTTGGCAGAGGTACCATTTCAGGCTTTAGAAAAAAGGAAGAATGCCGATCTGTCAGCTTGGCTTTTCTCAGCTTCATGTACAAGAGAGCAACCACCACCTCTCAAACCTGGGACACCTCGTACCAGGCACTAGATACCAAATGGCTTGTGTTTTTTTTCTCCCCCCCCCCCCCTATCTCCATCCAACTTAGGGTTGGTATGGGAGGGTGAGCGAAGAACGTGCTGGAAGGAAGAACAGAATGGGCAAGGTAGAAAAAAAAAAAAAAAAAGAAGGGGGGATAGAGCGAAGGAGAGAGAAAGTGAGAGCCGAGGGGGATGGAGGGATGAGGTGAAAGAGCAAAGCTTCACGATGACTAGACAGGGTGGAGACTTGTAAAGGGAGATGTACTTGTCAACTACAAAAGGTGAGAGAAGGACAAGTCAAGAGTATGACACATTGATAGGGTGTGAATAGAGACTCAGCCAGCGGAAAAAAAGTGCAGTTGAAAAGCCACTGTACGGCGTTCTACGGCAGAACACATGAATGCAAGCAATGCCAGCACAGCAACAGAAAGCAAAGAACAAAGCTCTGAATATTCATGGGTGGAAAATTTTAAAACAATTATGTGGCAGGACATTTGTATTCAAAAGTAATGATTTACAACAGCCTCTCTCAACCAATTCAACACAGAGGAACCCTTGGAATAACCTTCTGGTCGCAGGGAACCCAGGCTGAAAACTACTACATGGACAACTTGTGATACATTCGTGTGGGAAGATTGTTCCTTACACCTTGGGTCATTGGGAAGAATTACCCCACAGAGAGCTAAAAAAGGTCAATGGTGTCAGTGGGAACTTATCTGAGAGGCAGGAATTGCTCAAGGAACCCCTAGCAACCTCCAGGGGAACCCTGCTTGAGAAACCCGGATTTATACTTAAGCTCCAGGGGGCTTTATATCTTGATAGCTAACTGGGTTCTAAAAATGTCTTTGTTCTATCTAAGCTAGCCAATAAATGACATGGCTTTCGGATTCACCCGGAAAGGTCACACGTGGGCAAATAACTCAGAAGAAAGCTGCGTACTAAAGCAACCTAGAAAAGCCATAAAGCTCAAATCCAAGATGTAACCATGGGCATAGATCAGTGGTCCACAAACTGTGGCCCAGGGGCCAGATGCAGCCATTTGCTTGCCCTTACCTGGCCCTTGGGGCACAATTCCTTCCACTGATATGAGACATCATGCTTTCCACTGACACCAACAATGGTGCACTAGTCCTTCCACTGATACATGTCACTGTCCCTTTCACTGACACCAAACAATAAGGGAATATTCCTTCCACTGATGCGAGACCCTATCCTTTCCACAGACACCAACAATAGGGTACTATTCCTTCCAATGATAGGAGACCCTATCCCTTCCACTGACACCAACAATGGGGCACTATTGATTCCACTGATACAAGTCACTATCCCTTCCACTGACACCCAACAATGAGGGAATATTCCTTCCACTGATGTGAGACCCTATCCCTTCCACTGACACTAACAATAGGGTACTATTCATTTCAATGATAGGAGACACTATCCCTTCCACTGACACCAACAATGGGGCACTATTGCTTCCACTGATACAAGTCACTGTCCCTTCCACTGACACCCAACACTAAGGGAATATTCCTTCCACTGATGCGAGACCCTATCCCTTCCACTGACACTAACAATAGGGTACTATTCCTTTCAATGATAGGAGACACTATCCCTTCCACTGACACCAACAATAGGGCACTATTCCTTCCAATGATACGAGACCTTATCCCTTCCACTGACACCAACAATATTGTATTATTCCTTCCAATGATACGAGACCCTATCCCTTCCACTGACACCAACAATATTGTATTATTCCTTCCAATGATACGAGACACTATCCCTTCCACTGACACCAACAATGGGGTACTATCCCTTCCAATGATACAAGACCCTATCCCTTCCACTGACACCAACAATAGGGTACTATCCCTTCCAATGATACAAGACCCTATCCCTTCCACTGACACCAACAATATTGTATTATTCCTTCCAATGATACGAGACCCTATCCCTTCCACTGACACTAACAATAGGGTACTATTCCTTTCAATGATACGAGACACTATCCCTTCCACTGACACCAACAATGGGGTACTATCCCTTCCAATGATACAAGACCCTATCCCTTCCACTGACACCAACAATAGGGTACTATTCCTTCCAATGATACGAGACACCATCCCTTCCACTGACACCAACAATAAGGCACTCCCAGTGACCCCAGGACATTTTCTACTCCCGCTGCCCACAGTCCGGCCACCCCTAACGACTGAAAGACAATAAACTGGCAGTTTGTTTAGACAGTATGGCATAGATGATCATTAACTAGACTTGATGGCTTTGAGTTCCTACAGCCCTCACCATCAGTGAACAGATCTCAGCCAGGATACGATTTTCCGTGTGGCAGACAATAATTCCGAAACATAAAAGTGTCACCATGGTGCATGAGAATAAACACAAACACACACATCCAGGGGCGGACTGACAACTCATGGGGCCCCCGGGCAATAGGGGATCATGGAGCCCCTGTGTCCTTGCCCATACTCAAAGCACATCCAAAAAAGCCTATAAAAAAGGTACCAGGGGCATTTCATGGTGTCCCCTACTGACCCCGGGCCCTCAGGCAGTGCCCGAGTGCTTGAATGGTCATCCCGCCCCTGCAAACATCTATGCTATTGACCTACAGGTCTGTGCAAAAATGAGATCTTCGGGGGCTGGCTGGTGCACAACAGCTGATGTCTACACAGCCAACATAAGGTGGAGATCAAACTTTCAAGCAAATTGGCGAGATAATAGACTTTTGTCCTGACCGCATGCGTGACCCGTTTTGCTGCATTAGGCCTGAACAGCCATGTTAAAATTTCAAATGGTGCCAAGTGGGCCTGTCTTCGGTTCTCCATGGCTACTTGCAAAATTTGCCTTCAGCCACCGTACCATTAACTCAATCATTCTTATTAAAAACAAAAAGATGATGGGACTATACAAGCCACCCTTTGTTCCCTTTGCACACCGTCTGCCCCCCCCCCCCCCCCCCCCAACAACTTTGCATGCTCAAAAAATGTATTATTGTTTCTTCTGTAAGAGTTTACCTGATTTGTGGAACTTGCAAAAAAATTAAAAAAATAAAGAGACCACTTATAAATGGATGCTATGGGGGTTATTTACTAAAACTGGAGGGTGCAAAATCTGGTGCAAGTTCTGCACAGAAGCCAATCAGCTTCCAGGTTTTATTGTCGACGCTTAATTGAACAAGCTGAAGTTGGACGCTGATTGGCCACCATGCATGGTCGCACTGGATTCTAAGTGCCCCAGGTTTAGTAAATCTCCCCCATTGTATCTTTCATGTGGAACCTGCAATTTAAAAAAAAAATTTCATGGACTGTACAGATACCTCAAAAGCCTGCAGAGGCATAATGAAGGAAGAGGCATCCCGTATCATTTGCAATGGTCATTATTTCATTATCTTGCGTAAAGATATTAAAACGGTGCTGAGGGTTTGTAAACTCAGTGGATTACTCTTTATTTGTTGTTAATATTGAGTGCCTACATAAAGAGAGCAAGAAAAACTCTCTGGGGTCCCTGGCTGGACACCCCAAGCTTGAGTCCACTGGACTTAGTCATGGACAGACTTCTTGTAGGCTAATGTTTACCCCTAAGTTTTTGGTTCTACAGGTCTGGTTGGATGCCTAGCGATACTTTTGGTGCCGATAAGGGGGTTCTCAACGATATGCCAATTGTGTGGTCTGAGGCAGGTCCCTGGATGGACACCCGGAGCTTGAGTCCACTGGACTTAGTCATGGACAGACATCTTGTAGGCTAATGTGTATCCCTAAGGTTTTTGGTTCTACAGGTCTGGTTGGATGCCTAGCGATACTTTTGGTGCCGATAAGGGGGTCTCAACGATATGCCAATTGTGTGGTCTGAGGCAGGTCCCTGGATGGACACCCGGAGCTTGAGTCCACTGGACTTAGTCATGGACAGACATCTTGTAGGCTAATGTGTATCCCTAAGGTTTTTGGTTCTACAGGTCTGGTTGGATTCCTAGCGATACTTTTGGTGCCGATAAGGACGTTCTCAACGATATGCCAATTGTGTGGTCTGAGGCGAGTCCCTGGCTGGACACCCCGAGCTTGAGTCCACTGGACTTAGTCAGGGGTACACAATAGCCTACAAGAAGTGTGTCCATGACCAAGTCCAGTGGACTCAAGCTCGGGGTGTCCAGCCAGGGACCCGTCTCAGACCACACAATTGGCATATCATTGAGAACGCCCTTATCGGCACCAAAAGTATCGCTAGGCATCCAACCAGACCTGTAGAACCAAAAACCTTAGGGGTACACATTAGCCTACAAGAAGTCTGTCCATAAGGTTTTTGGTTCTACAGGTCTGGTTGGATGCCTAGCGATACTTTTGGTGCCAATAAGGGGGTTCTCAATGATATGCCAATTGTGTGGTCTGAGGCGGGTCCCTGGCTGGACACCCCGAGCTTGAGTCCACTGGACTTAGTCATGGACAGACTTCTTGTAGGCTAATGTGTACCCCTAAGGTTTTTGGTTCTACAGGTCTGGTTGGATGCCTAGCGATACTTTTGGTGCCGATAAGGGGCGTTCTCAATGATATGCCAATTGTGTGGTCTGAGGCGGGTCCCTGGCTGGACACCCCTTGAAGCTTGGAGTCCACTGGACTTAGTCAGTGGACCCAAGACTCTCAGACCACACAATTGTAGGAACCCCCTTATCGGCATGCTAGTACCCCACATAACAAGAAGTCTGTTTTTTGGTTCTACAGGTCTGGTTGGATGCCTAGCGATACTTTTGGTGCCGATAAGGGGGTTCTCAATGATATGCCAATTGTGTGGTCTGAGGCAGGTCCGTGGCTGGACACCCCGAACTTGAGTCCGCTGGACTTAGTCATGGACAGACTTCTTGTAGGCTGTGTACCCCTAAGGTTTTTGGTTCTACAGGTCTGGTTGGATGCCTAGCGATACTTTTGGTGCCGATAAGGGCGTTCTCAATGATATGCCAATTGTGTGGTCTGAGGCGAGTCCGGTCTTGGTATTAATGATACGTCAAGTTTGCATTTATTAATACATTTTAGTCTGTCCGTGATCCGGATGCTATAATATCTGTTTTTTTCAGGAAATACATTTTTTTTTCTTCAATAAAATTACTCTCGATTTAAAGAAAGCAAAAACGAAGAAAAAAGTTGTCACCCCATAAAATAAAAAAAAAAATATATAGTTAATATGGTTGTCCATCCAGTTCAACCAACAAATCTTCATGAAAGTTTACAGAGGAAACCACTAACTTGAGTCCAACCCGGTACTTACCTTTGTGGGCTTGCAAATAAAGGTGAGAAAAAGGTGAGAGGATGAAGGTAACCCCAATCAGCTGATATGGCTTTGCACCACCTCGATCCGTACATTACGAGAAGGACGCATAGTCAGCGAAGGCAACATCCGAAACCCTCAGATGAACCCTTCCACAGGTAACAAGGTACAGGTGCTTGGCAGGTAAATGGTTGAGAGACAAGACGACGGTCTTCGCTGGTCCGCCGAGGAGTTACGAGACGAGTTGGGCGAGGAGATCACAGGTCTGACAGGTAGGCGTTGGATGACGTTTGCATCAAAACAATGGTGACAGTGTTGCAGGTGCTTGCAGTCCCAGAATTCCGGCTTACTGTACGGTTCTTGGCGCAAAAAAGGGACATCGGAAGAAAGGAGGGGAAAGAGAGACAACGCAAGTCTAACAAAGTGCCATCGCGCAGAGCAAAAGTGAGACAGTACGAAGGGAGGCTCCACTGTGACAGAACCTGACAGCTCCACTTTCAATTCTGTTGGAGTGTGAAGGAGAAGGGGAGAGACACTGGAGACTGGAGGAGGGAGAAAGAAAGAGGGACACAGAAGACAGAAATGGGAAGGAGGGGGGGTGAAAAAGAGCGAATAAGAGTAAGCACAGAGGGAGGGCCAACACAGCCAGAGGTATGAGGGAGGAGAGAACATTGAAGGAAAGGGAAAAGGACAGAACAAACTACCTGATCCTTTAAATTCACACCAGAGGGAGAGAGAGTGAGCAAGAAGAACCAGAAGAAGACAAGGACCTTCTGTTGGGTAGGGAGAAGCCACCAAAGAAAAACCCCAACACCTGCAGAGACAACACAATAAAAGCCAACAAGGAGGAGGAGAGTTAAGGAGGGGTAATGGAGAAAGCCCGAGGTATGAGGGTGGAGAGAGGGGCAGAAGAGGGAAAGGAGGACCCAGTAATACCTGAAACCGAGAGCCGGAGACAGAATGTGGACAACTGTGTGCCTCAACCGGAGAAAGACTCCCAAGTGTCGCTACAATGCAATTAACCTCTGACAAGCCAACCACCACACAGAAATAACTTGGCACAAAAGCAACGTCATTCAATCCCCGCGTTATGTTGTGCCAACGCTTCCGCTAATTCGCAGACTATTCTGGGCAGATAAAAAAACTTCAGCGGTCTATGGAGCCTGCTCTTTCCTTTGTCTGAGGGGTGCGTTCCAGTTGATCCACTGCACATTTGAGCCCCGTTCACCGGTTTTCTAATGATGCACCAGTGCTTCGGTGGCCCAAATGTATCGGTCGAATTTTGCGGATAGGGAAAAAAAAAAAAAAAAGGTCAGACATATAGAAAATGGGATGACCGGGACACTACCACATATGGACTATAATGAGACTACCGAGAAGGAAGGGGGTCAAAAATTATTATATGTAGACCAAGTAATGGCCCCCACATATATGGCGCCAAAAAAAAGGTGCTGATAATGGTTTGCGAAAAACGTGCGATATTTATTTCAAGTACTCCAAAGTAGCGTCAGACGGCGCTACTTTCAAGTAGCGCCGTCCGTTTACGCAGCGATTTACATATACATTGTACATTCGTGTCAGTCCCTAACCCTCAAGGGGAGTCCAATCTATAATTCCTAACTCACATCCATACATACACATACTAGGGGCCAATATAGACAGGAGCCAATTCACCTACCAGCATGCCTTTGGGATGTGGGAGGAAGCCCACGCAGGCACAGGGAGAACATGTAAACTCCAGGCAGGTGGTGCCATGGTTGGGATTTGAACCAACGACCCTGGTACTGCCAGGCAGAAGGGCTAACCATTTAGCCACTGTGCTGTGTTCACAGGGAGAACATGCAAACTCCAGGCAGGTGGTGCCGTGGTTGGGATTCGAACCAACGACCCTGGTACTGCCAGGTAGAAGTGCTAACCATTTTGCCACGGTGCTGTGTAGGAACAAGAGTTCACAGGGAGAACATGCAAACTCCAGGCCAGGGGCAGACTGACAACTCATGGGGCCCCCGGGCAACAGGGGATCATGGGGCCCCTGTGTCCTCGCCCACACTCAAACTACACCCAAAAAAGCCTATGAAAGGTACCAGGGGCATCTCATGGGGCCCCCTACTGACCCGGGGCCCTCGGGCAGTGCCTGAGTGCCCGAATGGTCAGTCCGCCCCTGCTCCAGACAGGTAGTGCCATGGTTGGGATTTGAGCCAACAACCCTGGTGCTGCCAGGTGGAAGTGCTTTAGCCACTGTGCTGTGTAGGAACAAGAGCTCACAGGGAGAACATGCAAACTCCAGGCAAGTAGTGCCGTGGTTGGGATTCAAACCAACGACCCTAGTGCTGCCAGGTGGAAGTGCTAACCATTTAGCCACTGTGCTGTGTTCAAAGGGAGAACATGCAAACTCCAGGCAGGTAGTGCCGTGGTTGGGATTTGAACCAATGACCCTGGTGCTACCAGGCGGAAATGCTAACCATTTAGCCACGGTGCTGTGTAGGAACAAGAGCTCAATTTCAATGCATCCTATAAAAAAATATAAATATATAAAAATAAAATGTGTGTGTGTGTGTGTATATATATATATATAAATATTAAAAGAAAATTTAATTTCAGTGCATCCTGAATATATATAATATATAAAAATAAAATGTGTGTGTATATATATATATATATATATATATATACAGTGGGGATCGAAAGTTTGGGCACCCCAGCTAAAAATGTGTATTAATGTGCATAAAGAAGCCAAAGAAAGATGGAAAAATCTCCAAAAGGCATCAAATTACAGATTAGACATTCTTATAATATGTCAACAAAAGTTAGATTTTATTTCCATCATTTACACTTTCAAAATAACAGAAAACAAAAAAATGGCGTCTGCAAAAGTTTGGGCACCCTGCAGAATTTATAGCATGCACTGCCTCCTTTGCCAAGCTGAGACCTGCCAGTGTCATGGATTGTTCTCAATCATCATCTGGGAAGACCAGGTGATGTCAATCCCAAAGGTTTTAAATGCCCAGACTCATCTGACCTTGCCCCAACAATCAGCACCATGGGTTCTTCGAAGCAGTTGTCTAGAAAACTGAAACTGAAAATAGTTGACGCTCACAAAGCTGGAGAAGGCTATAAGAAGATAGCAAAGCGTTTTCAGATGTCAATATCCTCTGTGCAGAATGTAATTAAGAAACGGCAGTCATCAGGAACAGTGGAAGTTAAAGCAAGATCTGGAAGACCAAGAAAAATATCAGACAGAACAGCTCGCAGGATTGTGAGAAAAACAATTCAAAACCCACGTTTGACTGCACGATCCCTCCATAAAGATCTGGCAGACACTGGGGTTGTGGTACACTATTCCACTATAAAGAGATACTTGTACAAATATGGTTTTCATGGAAGAGTCATCAGAAGAAAACCTCTTCTACGTCCTCACCACAAAAATCATCGTTTGAACTTTGCAAATGAACATATAGACAAGCCTGATGCATTTTGGAAACAAGTTCTGTGGACCGATGAGGTTAAAATTGAACTTTTTGGCCGGAATGAGCAAAGGTACGTTTGGAGAAGAAGGGGCACAGAATTTAATGAAAAGAACCTCTGTCCAACTGTTAAGCATGGGGTTGGATCAATCATGCTTTGGGGTTGTGTTGCAGCCAGTGGCACAGGGAACATCTCACGAGTAGAAGGAAAAATGGATTCAATAAAATTTCAGCAAATTTTGGATGGTAACTTGATGCCATCTGTGAAAAAGCTGAAGTTAAAGAGAGGATGGCTTCTACAAATGGATAATGATCCTAAACTCACCTCGAAATCCACGGGGGATTACATCAAGAGGCGTAAACTGAAGGTTTTGCCATGGCCTTCACAATCTCCTGACCTCAACATCATTGAAAATCTATGGATAGACCTTAAAAGAGCCGTGCGTGACAGACAGCCCAGAAATCTCAAAGAACTGGAAGACTTTTGTAAGGAAGAATGGGCAGAAATACCTCAAACTGGAATTGAAAGACTCTTGGCTGGCTACAAAAAGCGTTTACAAGCTGTGATACTTGCCAAAGGGGGCAGTACAAGATATTAACTCTGCAGGGTGCCCAAACTTTTGCAGACGCCATTTTTTTGTTTTTCTGTTATTTTGAAAGTGTAAATGATGGAAATAAAATCTAACTTTTGTTGACATATTATAAGAATGTCTAATCTGTAATTTGATGCCTTTTGGAGATTTTTCCATCTTTCCTTGGCTTCTTTATGCACATTAATACACATTTTTAGCTGGGGTGCCCAAACTTTCCATCCCCACTGTATATATATATATATATATATATATAATATAAAATATTTAAAAAGTTAATTTCAGTGCATCCTGAATTTTCAGTTTCGGTGTGTGCTACCATTTTCAGGTTATTTTAAAGCTCTCTTTTTTTGCATTTTCTCCCCAAACGCACGTTTTGGCCAATGGAAAGCAGCACCCTGCGTGTCATCGTGGGGGCTGACTTACTAAAACTGGAGAGTGCAAAATTTGGTGCAGCTCTGCACGGAAGCCAATCAGCTTCTAAAGCTGGCCACACACGGGTCGAATTTTGAGCAAATTTTCTTTAGAAAATCTGAAATTTTGTGCGTTTTGTAATGCGATGGCGCCACCGTTGATTTCGAAATTCAACCAAGCCTTCAATTTCTCCTCGTGTTGCTACAGAAAAGAATTTTCGTGGCCAAGAATTTTCTTTTCTTTCCAGGTCGCAGCTTTTATATTTTTTGCACGATTCTCCCAACGTTGATTCGAAATTCGTTCGTTTTTTAAAAAAAATTTCCCACACGCCCGATCACTCAAATTTGATGGTCACACGAAAATCGGCCGTTTCTGTGATCCGCGAACGGTGCGAAATTCGAATGAAAATTCTTAGAAAAGATTTTCGAAAGAAAATTCTTTCGGAATTCGAACCGGCTTAACTTCAGCTTGTTCAATTAAGCTTTGAAAAAAAAAAAAGAAAAAACCTTGAAGCCGATTGGTTTCTATGCAGAGCTGCACCAGATTTTTCATTCTCCAGTTTTAGTAAATCACGCCCCATAGGTCGCCATCATTGTATCTGCTTCCTGGTTTTTTTTTCGGCGTGGCTTTTGGAGCTCTTGAACCATGTCTGCTTTGCCAATTTCTTCACAGGCCCTCTGCCATTGACCATGGTTCTTGAAGTGGGCGTCACTGGGGTCATATAGGTTCTAATGGGCCCAAACCAGGCAAGTGAAGTCTCCACATGAAGCATGGATGAACCTGAATCCTTCACAACCCTAAATCTGGGCATTCATGGATCGAAATTCAGCCGGTTCAGCAGGAACTGGCTGAATTTCGATCCATCTATGACTGATCCCAATCTAACCATTGACTTCTTATGTACTGGTCTACTGGAAGCAAGGAGGATTCTTGCATCCACCTCAAATGTGTGGATGGGGGTAATGGGTTCTGTTTTTTTTTTTTCTTCCAGACCACTGAACCATGTGTATGGCCAGCTTTAGATTGCTATTAGGGTCGGATTAGCTGTTAGGCGGTAAAACGATTATGCCGCACGTTTTCGGGGGCTCTGTTTAAAGCCTATGGGGCCCAAAAGCTCACAATTCTGCCCGAAAAACCTCCATGACTTTTTTGCTCAAGCACCGCTGTCGTGCAAACGGGAACCACTAAATATAACGGGGATCTTTAAGTTGAGCGTTCGGAAAACGATGAATGGGGGCTAAATTCCTTTTGGTCATTTTGTTTCAATTTGCGTTTTTTCTTCGTTGATCCATATCTCCAATGAAACAATACAAATATGAACTATCCTGGCAAATTCAGATGCTGACCTACAGACTAGGAAGTCAATACAGCAAAAAAAAATAAGGTGGCACATACACTATATTGCCAAAAGTATTGGCCCCGCCCTCCCAATCATGTGATTCAGGTGTTCCAATCCCCTCCCAATCATGTGATTCAGGGGTTCCAATCCCCTCCCAATCGTGATTCAGGTGTTCCAATCCCCTCCATATCATGTGATTCAGATGTTCCAATCCCCTCCATGGACATAGGTGTATACAATCAAGCCCCTCGGCATGCAGACTGCTTCTACAAACATTGGTGAAAGAATAGGTCGCTCTCAGGAGCTCAGTGACTCCAAGCGTGGTCCCATGATAGGTGGCCACCTGTGCAACAAGTCCATCCGTGACATTTCCTGGATACTAAATATTCCACGCTCAACTGTTAGTGGGATTATAACAAAGTGGAAGCAACTGGGAACAACAGCCACTCAGCCACCAAGTGGTAGGCCACGTCACATGACAGGGCGGAGTCAGCGCATGCTGAAGCGCACAGTGCGCAGAAGTCGCCAACTGTCTGCAGAGTCAATAGCTAAAGACCTCCAAACTTGGTGTGGCCTTCAGATGAGCCCAACAACAGTGCGTAGAGAGCTTCATGGAATGGGTTTCCATGGCCGAGCAGCTGCATCCAAGCCTTACATCACCAAGTGCAATGCAAAGCGTCCGATGCCGTGGTGTAAAGCACGCTGCCACTGGACTCTAGAGCAGAGGAGACGTGTTCTCTGGAGTGACCAATCATGTTTCTCTGTCTGGCAATCCGATGGACGTGTCTGGGTTTGGCAGTTGCCAGGAGAACAGTACTTGCCTGACTGCATTGTGCCAAGTTTAAAGTTTGGTGGAGAGGGGATTATGGTGCAGGGGTGTTCTTCAGGGGTTGGGCTTGGCCCCCTAGTTCCAGTGAAGGGAACTCTTAAGGTGACATGTTGGCCAATTTCATGCTCCCAACCTTGTGGGAAGAGTTTGGGGATGGCCCCTTCCTGTTCCAACATGACTGCCCACCAGTGCACAAAGCAAGGTCCATAAAGCCATGGAGGAGCCAGTTTGGGGTGGAGGAACTTGACTGGCCTGCACAGAGTCCTGACCTCAACCCCATAGAACACCTTTGGGATGAATTAGAGCGGAGACTGTGAGCCAGGCCTCAACCCCGACATCAATGCCTGACCTGACAAATGTGCTTCTGGAAGAATGGTCCAACCTTCCCATAGACACCCTCCTAAACCTTGTGGACGGCCTTTCCAGAAGAGTTGAAGCTGTTATAGCTGCTAAGGGCGGGGCCAACTCAATATTGGACCCTGGAACACTAACTCAAGTTCTTGATTGATTATATTGGCAAATACTATCAGAC